TTTCAATTATTTACTTTTTAGAGAGGGCTCTTGGCCATTTTGAAGGGCTACAGTTATTTCCGGGGATATTCCCAGCTACACAGGCTCATGCGTCACAGTGCTCACCTGGCCAACCGTTTAACTTTGGAGCAGAGTCTGACTGCACCCGAGTCAGTTTTCTTGTCCTTAAATTCTGGGCACAAAGTGCATGCAATTGCTATTCTGTTTAAACTGTAAAATAAGCTATGTTGAACACTGGGTTATTTTTTAAAACTTAAGAACATACTCCCCAAAGCAATTTAAAGAAACTGTGTTTCCTTCTTATTTACTAAAAAACGGGGAAAAATCCAAAACAACCCCATGCCACCACTTATTACCTAGATAAATACCAAAATTCACATAAACTATTCAGGGAAGCAGAGCCACTGAGGGAGTTATTATCAGGTTCTTTCAATATCATTTCACATATTTCTCATACTTATTCCTTGGCTGGTAGACCATACTTTCTTACATTCTTTTGTCTAATCTCTAAATTCAGATTAGAAATTGGTATTTCTTCTCAAAGCCAAATCAGAAAGTCAGCTTTTTAAATTATCTTTTGTGTGTGCTGGATATTCAATACTCTTGGAGTGGTATTGTATTTACATGTGTTTGCGTAGCACACATGTATGCTAGCACACCCACTCTGTTTATCCAGACAGACTTAAAGGATAAAACTGAAAGTATTTATTTATGCAAATAAAAGTAAACTACAGGAGTTAAGCATGGGAATTGCCTGTAATTGTCTGCAGAACTGCTAGAAAAAGCTGCTTTTTGGAAACGGGAGAAGCGAAGCCTTCTCTGTCAAAAGTGACAGCAACAACTATCTACTGTTAGCAAATTACTTTCTTCCCAAAACTGAAGGGCACGGGGAGAAAAATCACTTCTTTTCATACTTCACAGCAAAAACTGGACAGAGCATAATCTGAAAAGGGCCTTCTGTCCCTGAAGTACACTGTCTTAGTAAGCTTGATCCTGTGCATAAATACCTTGCGTGAACTTCATCATTATCACCGTCTCCAGTTACAGAACTTAAACTAGAGCAGATTATCGAAACATTACAGGAACTAAAGTAATTTCCAAGTATGATCATTAATCACCTGCACCAAGTCTAATCACATACTGAGCTCTCTTCATTGTTCTATTAAGACAGGTACTTTATCTTAATTAGAGCTATTGCTTCAAAAATTAACACTAAAGACAATTTAAAATGTCCTATCAGAACAAACATTTTATTCTCTCACCTCCTAACTCGATTCAACATCTCTGATGTGGAAAGGAAAGCATGAAAGTTTGGTCAGATTTCTGACTTCTCCCATCATTAGATATTTGCACAATTTTTTTTTTTTCTGCTAGAAATATTCTTACTATTTCTATATATAGAAAGTCTCAGGGGGTAAGAGCCCTCTTTGTGCTTCATGCTGTACAAGCACTAGCATTTACAGCCTGTTCTGGAAAATTTGATCTGAATTTTTACACATTTACTCTTCTAAACAATATTTTAATTACCTGTGGTGAAGACAAATGTAAATATGATGTAATGATACTTCACATTCACTGTCTTGTGGAAACTATTCAGGTAAAACAGCAGCCACAAAAATATCACTTCCTCCAATCTCAGTGAGGGCAATGGCAGAGTTTAAGGGAGAGACTATACACTATAACATGTTAGCCCCTGCCAAACCAAATCGAGTATCTGTTTCTTACTGAAACAGAAATCAGTAATGTTGATTTGAGGAATTTTCTTAGTCCTGATGGTGATACTATAGACAAGATTAGTAAACCTACAAAAGCACCTTCTACCGAGAAACTCCAGCAGGATGCTTTTGTATCCCTGTTGGCAACAGAAAAACATTGATCTGGAAAACAATGCCTGCAGGAACAAGAGGTAGATAGCTCACGCTTTTTAGGTGAATGAAGCGGAGGTGAGAAACAAGGCCCGGGATGTGGTAGATCTCAAAAAATGAGTAAAACTAATCACTGAACAATTTCACCATAGAGTCATAGAATTTTAGGGGTTGGAATGGACCTTACAGATAATCTAGTCCCAACCCCCCTGCCATGGGCAGGGACACCTCCCCACTAGACCAGGATGCTCAAGGCTTCATCCAGCCTGGCTTTGAACACTGCCAGGGTTGGGGCAGCCACCATGTGCCTGAGCAACCTATACCAGTGTCTCACCACCCTCAGAGTAAAAAACGTTTTTCTAATATCCAACTTAAACTTCCCTTCCTTCAATTTGAACCTGAATGAATACATTTCAATCAAATGTATGTGTTCTTGAGATATGACCTGTAATCAGCAAGCCAGAATTTCCCAAACTTAATTTGGTAGCAAACAGTTTAAATGTAGGTGAAAGAGAAATTTCCCATTCATTTTGATAGCAAAATTTTTAATTAACATATTATACAGTCCTGAGAGTTTTCGGAAAATTCAGATGGTGGCAGAAATGCAGACCAGTCAAGAAGGCTCTAAGAGGGCATACCCCATTATGTGGTGCAGAATTCATTTATTTCAGAATAGTTTTTCTTTCTAAAAATAAAGTTACACAAAATGTATGTTATGTTCTAGAGAAGCCAACCGAAGTGTACAGAGATTTTGTTAACAGAAAGAAGTGGGGCATTACTTTGTCTAAAAGGACTATGTCTGAACTGGAGTCCTGAGTGCTTTTAACTTGATGGGTGTGTTCCCACGAATATTCCCCAAAGAACAGGGATGAAGAAGGAAAAAGAATAGAAAATAATTTCTTCAGCTTTGGTAATCAGGGCGATAGATATAAGCCATACCAAATCTCAGAACTTTACATATCTAACTCACAGTTAAGGTATGGAAAGAATACCTTCAACCTAAGTTTACTTGAGAGCAAGTCTCCATCTGTTTACTGGGAATTTTCATATTGGTTTTATAAATCTTGTATCTGTATGTGGTACAAAGAAGAAATGATGCTATCAGCTCCGACTAATGACATATAAACCATTGCTGAATTTCAACTCCTTAAAAAAGTAAAAGCAGTTCATTTCTTACAATGAACGCTGGAAAAATGGTACTGAATGAGAAATCTAAGATACAGTCTCTCTGGAAAAAACCCAGCAGACTTTCACCATCAAGCATTACACCTAGCAGCAGTTGCCTACTCAATATCTATATCTGTTTCCACCAGAGTGGCAAAATGAATGTCAGGATTTCATATGGACAAATCCATGAGAAATCAGGTTTCATTAGTTTTGCTTCTGAGGGACTAACTGGTTAAAAGAATCTATAGTGTTAACAATATCTTTCCTTTTACCAAGTTGTTCAGCCACAATATACTAAAAGAGCACGTGCATACAGCAAGATGTAGGAACCATTGTGAATTGTATTCAGAACCTTGTGCCCTGAATCTTATCTTAGGCTATATCTGATTAATTTTATATACAGCACAAAATACAGGAACAGAATCGCAGAATGATTTGGCTTGGAGGGACCTTTAAAGATAGTAATGACCAGGGACATCTTCCATTAGTCCAGGGTGCTCAAAGGCCCATCCTGACCTGACCTTAAACACTTCTAGGGATGGTCCACAGCTTCTCTGAGCAACCTGTGCCAGCAGTGCCTCTGCATCCTTACACCAAGTAAAGAATTTCTTCCTCATGTTCATGTATACCTACACTCTTTGAATTTAAAACTGTTGCTCCTTGTCCCATCACTACAGGCCTTAGTAAAAAGACTCTCCATCTTTCTTGTAAGCCCCCTTTAAGTACTGAAAAGCTGCAGTAAGGTCTCACCGGAGCCTTCTCTTCTCTAGGCTGAAGAGCCCCAGCACTCTCAATCTGTCTTCATAGGAGAGGTGCTCCAGCCCTCTGATCAAGTGAGTGGCTCTCCTCTGGGCTCACTCCAGCTGGTTCATGTCCTTTCTGTGCTAAGCATGCCAGACCTCAATGCAGTACTCCAGGTGGGGTCACACAAGAGCAGAGCAGAGGGGCAGAATCACCTCCCTTGACCTGCTGGGCACAATCCTTTTCATACAGCCCAGGACACAGTCAGCGTTCTGGGCTGTGAGCACACATTGCTAGCTCATGTCCAGTTTTTCAGAATCTACTCTGATTTGGGTTTCACTCAGGTCTGCTACGCCACGCATCCTGTTTCTGAGTAACTCCTTTCTGTTAGGTTACGCTGGAAGAATTCTTGCTTATCTGGCATGGACACATTAATCCATTCTCTCAGTTTTGTAGTTACCACAAGTTGCTGCCATTATGTTTGCACCATGTAATTTGATGTTTAAAATCTCAGTAAATTGCCCCAGCTGCTTATCAGAGACAGCAGTGTGGGCCCACATGTTCATTTAGATGGCTAAGCCAGACTTGGTCTGCATGACGATGATAATGTGACTCATCATCTACTCTCTCAAGATAGGAACGACTATTGTGCTGCAAACGTAGTCAGGACTGCAGAATATTTCCTCTGTTGCCTTGCAACTGTCTATACTGATTCCTCAGAGGGGAAATAGATCTTTGCATTTGGGTCCTGTTTATTGTAACTATCATTCTAACTGGCTGCACTTACTTGCATATAATGAGCAATAAGTAAGGTAAGGTCGAAGTCATAAGCTCTTGTATAACATAACCTTACCTTTCCAAATATACCCACTCCATAAGGTCTCAGCATCTCTTACCTTCCCTGCAATGCAGCTCAAGCTAAATAGGTGGAAGTTTTATTTCACAAGTAAATAGATATTGATCTGTTATTTCTAAGAACAGAAGGAAACAAAGTGATTTATGCACTAAGACTGGAACAACTGATTTTGTTAAACTTTGGGTTATTATTGACACAGATGAAAAAAGAACATACAGCACATTCTCAAACAGTAAAGGCATATGGATTAAGGTGTAACACAGCCTAAATAGAAAATTAAATCTTGAAGTCCAAGCAGAGATAAAATGCATGCAGATAAGGCAGGCCACTCAAATTTTTATAAGATGCCTTTCAAGGAGCTATATGGCCACTTAATCAATTTTCTCTTCTTGGAAATTGTCTGCATCATCCATGTAGTCTTCAAGATCATTGTATCTCTGCAAATGAAATAAAACCTGTATTATTTTTTTCAATGCTTAATAACTGCATTACACAAAGATTGCTTTTTCCTGTTCAACACATTAACAAGCATGTCAATAACAATTTGGAAGCAATGATATCTGAAAATTTGCTAAGTGCAATTGTACTACAAGTCATCTTAAAATAGTTCATAAAGTGTTTCTGAGTAATTCAAAGTACTTCAGTGTAAACAGAATTCTAAAATATTCTTGTTGTGCCTCATGTACATGTTTCCAACCTAAGTTACAACCCAAGTTTGTTGTGTTGCTGCTTTCAAATGAAACAGGAGCCTGCCCACCACAGCCCAGAGATCATGCAGCTGTCAAAAAGCTTCATGTCACAAGCTGATACAAACCCTATGTGAGTGCAGCAGCATAGCACTGTTTGAAAGACTGGGTCAGCAGAAATGGATGAATGGTTAAGCTGAGTTGTATTATTGCAGCCTGGTAATACAGAACTGATCAATTAAATCAGACATTTTATCTCAACTTACATTTTTCTGCTTGGAAAAGGACACAGGAAATAACTCAGCCATACCTTCTGAATCCACCCACTCTCTTCCAAGTGGCTGAATTGCCGCTCTACAGCGTCTTTGACTGGTTCATCCTCAACATCATCCAATTTGGCAATGGAGCAGCAATCCACATACAACTTGTACTTGAAATGCTTCAAATTGTGATAAACTCCTGTACGATTTGCGCACACCACACCGACCTTCAAAATCTAGATCAAAGCAAACAAACCATTCTCTCTGACAGAACTGTGAGTATCTTGACAATATGCAGAATTGGTAAGTTAGTTGAGTGAGACTTTTATCAGTCAGTCTAGGAATTTTTGGTAAATAATGAAATCAACAGAACGACACTACATGCATAAAATCAGCACAAACCCATGTAGTTTTCACAGCCACAGCACAGCAGTTTCTGAGCAAGCAGGCAGCCAGCAAGTCTATGCAATGGCAGCTTATCAGTATGGTCTTCCTGTCAACACAACCATGTTTCTAATTGGTGGTATCTTTCCTATCTCCTGGCGGAACTTTGTTACAAAATCACTAACACTTTAGACAACCATCATATTGTGAAAGCTGAGAAAGAGAAATCACTTGTTTACTTTATCATAATATATAAGTCCTTCCTAAGGACATGAAATACCACTTCTAGCATTTTGTAATATTCAATATTTCTTCAAGAAATACATAAGAACAGACATATAACTCAAAACACATATTTAATAAGTATATAGAGAGGTTGAATTTCATAAAAATAAAATCTGAAAACCAAGGTTTTACACAATGCAAATGTTAATCTGCAGCTGTCTTGGAGGTATAGCTAGGCCATAATGCTGTAGAAATCAAATCTTCTGCATCTCCCAGTTATTACCAGTCTTATTTCTATGATTTCCATACAGAAAAGGCAGGTATTTCACAGCTATTCTTATCTCACAGTTTTCTTTACAGCAGTGTTTATAGATAAACAAATGGTAAATATGCTTTTTTACTACATAATCAGAGGATGGATTAGAGTAGATTTATTATAATCTATCAGCACTAACAGGAAAATAATGAGTAATATATTGGTTACAGGAATCTTTGGCTATCTTAAATCTTCGCTGGGAATATGTGAAACTGGAGGTGTGGAGAGGGAGAAAGAGCTAATTTTCACCTGCACTTAAGACATCCTGCATTTCACAAGAGTAAGTTTTGTTGCACTTTAACAAGAATAGTAGTGCCAGTGGATACAATGGCAAGTCAGAAGAAGATTCTATCCCCTGTAAATAACCCACAGGTGCACCAATTACTTTTCCAGCCCAAGGAGACAAAGACCATCAGGCAAGAAATATACATCTGGCTGGTTTTCAGAGGTTGGGTTTTCTACACTCAAAAGAAATGTAATTAATACATGTGTGAAGAAATTCAGCTCCGGATATATATGGGAGAAATTGATTTAGTTTTACTGAAAAAAACCCTGCCATCGACTTACCCTTTCTAGGGCAGCATTGCTTTGGACTGATGTCTTGTCACACCTTTGCAAGTAACAAGCAGGTACATGGATAAAGGTTGAAGTTCTTTGCATCAATAGTGCAAGTGGCAATTATATTGCTATTTCAGATTACACACACATATATAAAAGAACCAACCACGTTATATGTTGCAAAATGATCTCTTCTGAGCCACAACTGTGATACCTTTTATTGCTGCTGTTGCTAACAATCTGAATACTCTCAAATGACAAGAAGGTTAAGTTTTAATTGATGCTTACAACCTGCATTTTCAGGGAGCTTTTCCAAATGCATGACCAAATATTTGCATCTGTGAGCAGTTCCCCAAAACACCTGACCTACTAGTACAACCTAGCACTCACCCTATGACAATGACAGTAACAGAAAAGTGTATTTATAAAGATTATATAAATGAAATTTATGCATATTATATTTTCTTAAATATATTAATATACTTGATTTCTTAATGTATTAACCAGCAGCTCAGCTGATAGAAGCAAGCATAATATCACTGAAGTCAAGAAGAGACACACTCAAAACAACTTTTGCTCTGACCTACAGTAGATGGTTATTAACTGAAATTTTAACCATGAGATAAAAAAATGCCTATTGCTATATTGTAATTCTACACTGATCGTGTACATGTTGTACCTATATGCAGCTCCATTTTCTCCTCTCCCCAAAGGTAAGGTTACCTGAAAAAGTAAGGCTTATGTTTGGTGCTACAGGTGCTTCTGAAGTGCAAGACCTACCAACCAATGCTGAACCTTGATTCATTCAAATTTCCAGAAGTACTATTTCAAATACTGAAACAAGCAAGAACTGAGCTGTGGCATTTCGCAGAGTATTTAATAACTTTTCAAGTATGCGAAGCAACGAGGTGTGGCACCCAGAACATTATGTGATGTAAAATAGGAGATACCATCTTGCATCAAACTGATGGCCCAGTTCTTTCCCTTGCGACAACAGCTAGCAGGAGATATTCAGGAAGTTTGTGCAAGATGCAGGATGAACACCAGAGTGATCATAAGATTACCACACAGTTTCTGGCAGTCAAGAGTTAAGACAGTCTATGTCATCCAAAATACCATGTTCCATAATGTGGAAGAACCTTCCCCAAGAACCTGTCTAATCCCTTTTGGTACTCACTAAATTCTCCCCTTCCAAAGTAATTTGTGGCAATGTGTTCTATAGCTAGTTTATGTGTGAGGTGTAAAGTATTTCCCATCAGAGAAATGCCAAAGGCAAATAGCTAAATATCACATAATGTAACTATGTATTGTGTTTTTGAAGCAAGAAAGATAGTCTAAAAATACAATGCTATTTCAGAATGCAACTTTGGAAAGAATCTCAGTACTGTATGCATTCTAATTTTTTCCTCTCACAGTTCTCAGTGCCTCTGTCCCAATGCTTAACTTATCTACTCAAGCTGGCCATATCAGCCAAAGTTGTGTTAAATCACTTTGCATGGAATGCAGGAGCATGGCCTGACAATAGCACAACATGTAGTGACTAAATTCATGTCCTCTGAGCATGATTCTAAACAGAAGCAGAACACTGAGACTGAAAGTAGAAAACAGTTTACAATCCAGGTGACATGGGAGCAAGGAAGTGTGGGGGACACCTATACAACTAAACCATTCAATTCTCCCTGACTGTGGAGGAATGAGAATTGGCACATACACAGTGAACAATCACTGCAAGCCTAAGCAAAACTGGAACAGCTGTTTCTCTTCTCTTTCTACTGGCAAAGCAGAATACTTCAGAGATGAGAGAAAAGGAAAGTTTTATGCAGAAGAAGGGGGTTGGAGGTCTGTTTTTGTTCTCTCTACATCCACTTTTCTCGGGTATTTTCAAACAAATCTTTAGAAAACAGTCCAACTATGTGTTTCCATTCAATCTGATCTGCCAGTGCTGAACTGCCTTCTCTATCAGTCAATTAAGCTTGTGAAATGCCAGTTTTATGTAGCTCAGTGTGCCTTTTTTTTCTCTTTTATTTTTTTTCCTCCTTTCTCTTTCTCATTTGGCAGGAGAAGTTGTGCAATGCATTGCCAGCAGAACTTTAAACACAACTTGAGAACAGGACTTTTAGCAGTCTAAATTACAGGTCACCATAAGAACACAAATGTTGCATTACAAAGGCACTATCAAAAATTACTGAAAAGTGCTGAATTACACTCTCTCCTGAGTCTGTTCTACAGCCCCTGAGCTATACTGAGCATGCACATAGCAGACATGTCTCCAGATGCTGGTGTACACAGGATAAAAGAAAGCTCCTCTTTTCTACTGTTAAGCTGAGGAGGACAACAATTAGCTAGCAAGTCAGTTCAGTATTCAGTAGGATATTTCAAGTTTTCACCAAAGTGAAAATAGCCAATATTTTAGGTACGACATCATTTGGTCAGCATGAAGGGACTGCTACTGTTGTTTCCACAGTTAAGTTGGAAGCTGAGTAAAGACTACATTCTTCAACAGAATGGTTAGGAAAGGCACACACTTCCCATGAAAAACTGAACAATTTTAAATCTGTGATGTACACTTAGATACCTGTAAGTAAGGAAGGGAACAATTTTAAATCTGTGATGTACACTCAGAGACCTGTAAGTAAGGAAGAATAATGACTGTATGACGGACTGCAGTATCAGTGCTAGTATGATTGCCAAGGACTTACTGTTTTCCTGAAATAAACATGGGGCAAAGCATTGCTGGCAAAGCCTAGTTCTCTTGACTGTCATGCACATAAAGACTTACCAAAACACAGTATCAGCAAGGTCTGTAATCTATTCAAGAAAAACTGTGGTATAGATTTTCCTAGCTCCTGCATTACACACAGAGCCCAATATGATGATTAGTGATAATCACACTGACACCCCTCAAGTCTCTAAAAAAATTGACTAAGATCCAAACAATATAAGCCTGAGCTTCAGTGAGGTGTTTTGCCAGATTGATAAGGGCTTAATTTTATTTTTACATAATAAAAATGTAAAAATAATAGGATTTTGTGAAATACTATTACGCCTCATTACCAAATGTACTGAAAAAAACAACTTGTTCTGAATTTTTTTTCTATTCAGCAAATACTGTGGGGAACTTCAGCTGTACTCAAAACTTCTTTTACAATCACAAAGGAATATACCATCTGCACCTCCTGAAAGGGGAGAAAGGCAGAACTTGGATATCAGCTTGGTGCACAACTGTAGCAATATTTTATTCTTGAATAATCGTGTGCTTTGAGTTTATCATAAGAGGTCATGAATTACATTACTTAAGAAGGTCATATGCATACCTAATCATGACAATGAATTATCATATATTAAATATTATCTGACAAAACAAAAGGCTACTTTAGAAATAACTGAGTACTCCTATTAGTAACTTGGTTAGTATGTGAATCTTCATGTGTGCTGTCAGCCTCCTCGACACAAAGCTTCAGACTGCTTCCCCATGCACCACAAGAGATAAGCATGCTGAGTAGGATGCCATGTACCCAAAGTTTCCTTCTTGCCCTGGATGAGACTCAGACTGTAAAGATTTGAAGCAGAGAAAAAAAATATCAAGGGCAATGTCAATTTTGACTTAAGGATAAGAATTACCAACAAACCCTATAATATTTCTTAGAGCTCTGGAGGTTTTTTATCATGAAATCCAGCTCATGCCTGAATATACTTACTGACACTTTTATATCTGTTGCATCCAGTACTAATATTAAGTGGTAAAACTGGGGAGGAAACAGCACACAGATCATTGTGATGCAGGCAAAAAGAAAGGTCATCGAAAAACATTTATTTTCTTGACAAAAGTTAGATTTATTTGGGCATACTTTTCATTACCTCTTCTCCAACATATAAGAAAGGGGGGAGGGAGGTGCAGGCAGAGGGGAATGCCTTCATTCATCTTTTCAAGTTTCATAGGAACTTCCCTCATAATTCCCAGCCAAATCCAAGACTATACACCAAACTGCAAAATGGTCGTCATATTTAAAAATTATTAGAGTTTAGACAAGGAAATACAATAGCTTATCAGTTGCCTCTATCATTACAGACATTAGATGTGTTGATTAAGCAGAGTGCTTGTTTGAAGTTACCTGCTTGTCATCTGACATGAAGTCATCCACTTCCATAGTTGTGCTATTATAAAGCTTTCCAGAGAGCTGCACATTAAACGTGCAATATCGCTTCAATTCACAGGCCTGGCAAGGTATATGTTTTGACTTTTTCAAGAGTATGCGAACATCTGGGTAACAATCCACACGCTCCTGAAAAACAAAGTCACATTAAAGAATCTCTGTAAACTGAATGATGCCTCAAATAGGCTGCTGACTACATCTGTACTCACACAAAATTAGTCTAAGAGAAATGAAAGTGATTCAAATCTGAAGTCTTTCATCATTTAGCTGTGAACATAGACCCTCTCAATCATTTTCCAACACTTCATGCAGTTCACTCTAGTTCATTAATTCTTTCTTTTGGCTTCAGACCTAGAGAGTGGCTCCTGCATCTTGAAACTTATTTTTCTCATATCTCTGACCTAGAGAGTGGCTCCTGCATCTTGACACTTATTTTTCTCACATCTCTTTTTTTGTGGGGTTAGGGGTGCAACTACATCAGTTGTTCTGCTTCAAATAAATACTCTGTCTCTCTTCACTGGCCATACTCCATTATTACAGTGATTATTAGATCACCACACCTATCACACTAATACTGTTCTAGTAATACTCATACAATGACAAGGTTACTGTAGTAGTAGTAGTAGTCTCATGATGAACATACTAGTTTATCTTTCTATGGGAGGATGAAGAAATTTTGTTATAACATTTAGCAAGTCACAAAAAAGCATTCTCCAAAAGTTATCTGCTGAAGTTAGCAGGAGAAGCACTCAGGTAACTGAGAATAGATCCTGTTCTGCTGCCTGAATGTTTATCTGGTTACAATCATATAAAATATTTCTGATACTTATATGCATCAAAAAAAATTATGTGAGTTAAAGAACAATGAATTTCTATTAAAAAGTATATATAATTATAGTGATCATTGTACCTTTACAGAGAACTATAGTATTAAAAACCAAAGTCAGTAACAATACTGGGGCCACTTTGTTGTTTAAAGTAGAATCTACACACCTTGTATCGATCCTTCCAGCGACTTCTAGCGATCAAGTTCTCCAGACGAGGCTGAATGAAGCGATCATCCAAATAACGGAGTGACAGCAACATATCTCGTGCATACCTCTTTTGTCTTGTTCCATCTGTTCAGTGAGAATCATTAGTAATTTGCTGACCACCCTATGTTGCACAAGTTTCTTTAAAATTTTCAAGGACGTTATGCTTCTGCATACTAAGGACTATGAATGATTTTAATAAATTATTACTGAATACATTTGCTGCTGTTATCCATAGAAGTGATCATGCATCTTTGATAAAGGGATATATTTAATTATTTTACAAGGGGTACATGAATAAGCTCTACCATCAAGGTTAAAGTGAAAAGCTGTCATCCCAAACGGAGATCCATTCACTCAATCTCATTTAAAAGAATGAAAAAGAAGGAAGGGGAGAAAATATCTTACATTTTGTCCAATCTATGTTGTTCATAATGTGTAAGGGGGGTGGCTGCAATCTATGAAAACAAACTGCTCTGAGCTACGTCACAGTGGGAATTTTGACAACTCTTTTTGTCACTTAAAAAGAGCACACACAAACTGACCTTTACACTTTGGCAGCACAGTCAGATGCCTTGAGTTAGGCAGCATAAGTACCTCCAAATACTTACTCAAGCAAAATAAATAAACAAGCATGACGATGAGTAAAACAACCACTATTCCATTACTGTTTCCCAAATACACGCCGGACTTGAGGAATAAACCAGGATTTTCATAGGTGCAGGCCAGTGCATTCTGTCTTGAACTTCAGTGTGTACAGACACAAATTAATGCAGCTACCTTCCCATGTCTTCTAGCAATGCTGTTCTCACAAAACCAGAACTGAGAAGGACCACTGGTTACCTAGCTTTTTATATAAAACCAGTTAATTGTCATTACAGCCACCACACTTACAATTACCTGTTTTTCCATACTCACTTTACTCAGACACATTTTCAGTATAAGCTTGAAGAGGCTGTGCTAGACCACAAAAAAATCCCTCACAATAAGAAGTAGTTTGAACTCTATACTATAGTACCTGCTCTTGATTCAAACTAATGAAGAGATTCACTTTCATTAACTCACAAAGATCCAGTCTATGTTGTAAAAATACACCTTTCCAATCCTAAGCTATATGTTCATACTACACAATGTTCATATACAACCTCCAGCTCACCCACAGGGCTGATCTACTTGCAGCACCTTGGCAGTAAGTTGCTACATTTTGTAGAGCAGGTACCATTTGAAATAGAAGGAAGCTATCACATCTATCTGGAAAAGTTTACTTAATACTTTTGGTAAGCTTGCTTTCACTTGGTAAAACAAAACAAAACAAACACCTGAGAGTACTAGCAGTGGTAGATGAAAGACATTTTTAGCTCCAAGAATATCCAGCCTTTATTCTGTGGTCTGTGGTGTACTTCGGTTTCTCCATATTCTCTCTCTGTTCCTGATGACATCAAAACTTCCTCTCTTTGGCATTTTACTGACTCCTTCCACAATCTGACACCAAGAGTCCTTTCCTTAATCGCATTTTTACAGTGCTTCTGAAACTACATGTGACCTTGTCATACAGCCCCACTAGGCCAAATGCCAAAAAGCACCTCCTCACCAAGAACACAAGAAGAAGTACTGACTGCAGCTGAAAATTACTTATCTGAAAGCAGAAATGTTAAAAAATAGGAAAGGAAAAAAATATCAGATATGGAGCAATCTCCGTAACTCCAATTACTTATTATCTATCAAAGTCCTGAGAAAAAGAGCTATGAAGTACACAAGAGTTTGAAAAATTAGATGACTTTGCAATGTTTTCATCGAAATGCCTGCTCTAAAATGCTACTGCTGATCAGTAACATGGAAACACTTCCCCACATCTCAGAGTGCCTTCTAGGCTTAACAGAATTACGTCTACATATTTTTCCAAGATTACTCTATCTTTTTCACATAGATCCCCACCCTCCCCCCAACCAGATTTACAGAGCAGGAAAACCACAAACAGATTCAGGACTCTCAGTTCTGTATCTCTAATCAGAAGAAACACCTTTCCCTAGAATAAATAGCTTTGTTTAACATAAGATGCACTATTATATTATTTAACGCAATTTACTTACCATATAATGAGCTGAGAAAAGTGCCATCAATTGCATTTATGAGGAAAGCCTTTACTATTCTTTTGAAGTGTACATAATGATTGCAGCGAGACACTGGGAAGAAAGCAATAGAACCAAAATTTATCAAAAAAACAGGAAAAAATAAACCTCAAAAGACAACATAAGCATTATTAAAAGTCCTGTAAGAATTCTTTTTTTATGATTGTGAATTTAGAATTTAAAGTTATTTAAATATGTGAATACTAAATTTAAATATTTTAAATTTAAATATTATAAATATGGACTTAGAAATAATTTTGGTGTACAACATCCTTAAGATCTTGCCTTTAAATAGCACTTCTCACCCCACTGATCTTACAGAATTTTAGCATCCTATAGTCACGTGTGCTTACTGCAAGAAGAGCCCACAGTAAGAGCTACAAACACTAGGAGAGTAATTTGTTCTATGAACAGCAAGAAATAATGCAAACCAGAGAAGGTCAGGCTTATGTGGTGGTTGTGGGGTTTTCTTTTCTGTTATTTTTGGGTTTTAGCTTGGGTTTTGTTCACTTGTCTTCTTTTGTTCTAACTTTCTTTCAAATACACACAGTTCTGCTGAGGTCTTCACTGGGAGAGAAATACCACAAATGCTTGTGACTACCTGCACTAGCACTGACTGTCCAGCCAGTACTTACCTGCTTCCAAAATACAGAAGAAAATAACTAGCATAAAGGTCCATTTCCAGATCTCTCTGCTCCATCCAGAAACTGGTTTCCATAAAAGAACAACCTGAAAAGTTTTATTGCTCTGTGCAGTTTGGCTGAAGCTGGCCAATGAAGTCAAAAACCCCCCTAGAACTCTGCTCCCAAGAATAAAACTGCCACAGAATAAAAAAAAAGATCCCAAGCCATGTCAAGAACAGAATTTGGTCAGAATTAATTGTCCAAATAGCACCTAGCATGAGATGGAAGATGCTTTCAGGTCTCCACAGGAACAACAGCAACACAGGCAGCCTATTTCATCTTAAATCAGACCAACTTTCAAAAAACCTGTGCACTAAGGTTTCCCTTCCATTCCCCCAAACTATACCCTCCCTTTAATTAGATACCAAAAGATCGTAAAAGTTTACTGTGGAAATCAGAGTGCTTCCACAATAAATTGAAGTCTTTTAGGAATCTGCTTTTTAGCTATCATATCCTATTGCTTAGCATTTGTATTGATCCCATTAACTTTTGTTACAGCACTACAAGCAAGTTACACATATAAATTGTCACTAATTTTGATCTTACACTGTGGAATGTAGTATGCCAGCAGGTCACTATTCGATGCATTTAGTTGCGTTCGCTGTGGCTGATTTTCACTCTTTATGTGCTCTGTGTTCTGGTCATCATCATCATCATCATCATCATCGTTGTCATCCTTTACTATAAAATCTTTCATGCTGTCACTGTCAGTTTCACTACCTTCTGTTGGTGTGAGGGGCAAGTCCCAAAGTGGTTCCTCTTCTATTTCTGCTTCACTATTAGAATCCTAATTAAATGTTAAAAAGTACATCAAACAAGAATTTTCAGTATTTACACTGACAAAATTCTACATACAATAGATAAGATTTTTGACTATCTAATAGAATCATTTGTTCAGTTAACAAGAAAGCACGTTTGCAAAAAACATATCATCCTGTACTAGAGGGCAGTTACTTTCAGCCATCTCCATGCACCTCTCCTCAGTCTATTTGCAGGAATTAAGCTGGAAACTCCCAGTTCCTCCAGCAGGTATTCTACTTCCCGATTATTTGATAGATTTTCAGCAGTCAATATTATTATCTAGTTAACATGACTGTTAAAACATGACAGAGCTATTGATTCGTCATGCATTCAGAAACAAATTATCTCACTGATTTATATCTCTTAGTCTTCGCCTTTCCTCACATTAAATATTTTCTCCAGTTAAATGTCAAGGGGAAAACACAGACCTCACAGTTTGCATTGCTGCAGGATCTCCGAGCTGCGCGTTGTCTTGCAAGTTCTTTCAATTCTGAGAACACTTTCTGTTTCCTATTAGTGGAAACATTTTCTGCAGGGCATTTTTTGTCAGGTTGCTGTTCTTCGAAACCCTCATCTGCATCCATTATACAGCGGCGCTTAGCAAAAACTTTTCTAACAACTATGTCACTGTCCTCACTTTCATCACTGTCATACAAAACAGAGGTGTTCAACCTTTTACGCTTCCGAAGCACAATACACTCATCCTCACCGTCGTCTGTTAATTCCCCGTTGCAGCTTTTCTCTTCCTGATGTGACAGACCGTTCTTCACAACAGCTTCATCTTTTTCATCTATTTTATCTTCTGATGTGGTCAGCTCTTCCTCCTCAGAAGTAGCTGAGGATTCGTCATTGCTATCAAGTAGTATGAGCTCCCTTCGAGTGCGTCTCCAGTCGACTTTGGATTTGGATGATGGCAGTTGTGTTCCTGCTGTCTTATTTCTTGTTTCATATCTTCTGACAACTTCTTTTATCTCCATTGGAAGGCTCTGGAAACACACCAAAATATAAACCGTTAAAGCAAAGCATTTATTACATTATGGCATTCAAAAATCAATAAAAAGAGTACATGAGCATACATAGTTTGTTACATACGCTTAAATTGTGACTTAACAATTAAGAGACGTGGAAACCAGGACCAAACAAAACTAAGCATGAACAGTAACTTCTGAGGTGAATACTCCTTACTCAAAACATGCACAGGTGCAGAAATGCCTGCACCCAGCATGAATAAATTGAGGAAATCACAGAATGGGTCAGGTTGGAAGGGACCACAATGGGTCATCTTAGAGCACATAGTGCATGATCACGTCCAGATGGCTCTTGAGTATCTCCAGTGAGGGAAAATCCACAACCTCTCTGGACAATCTGTTTCAGTGCACGGTCACTCGCACAGTAAAGTTCTTCCTCCTATTCAGGTGGAACTTCCTATGCATCAGTTTCTGCCCGTTGCTTCTTGTTAGCACCACTGAGAGGAGCCTGGCTCCATCCTCCTGGCACCCTGCCTTCAGATACTGACAGACATCGATGAGGTCCCCTCTCAGCCGTCTCTTCTCAAGACTGACTAGCCCCAGCTCCCTCAGCCTTTCCTCGTAAGAGAGATGCTCCAGCCCCTTCATCAACTTTGTTGCCCTCCACTGGACCCGCTCCAGGAGCTCCATATCCCTCTTGTCCTGAGACATCAGTACAGAGAGCAGGTTCGCGGCAGAGGCTGTGGCGCCAAGCTGTGGCGGCCCCGCTGCCCATAGTGCCGGAGGGATGGGGCGGGGACAGGGACAGGAGAGGGACGCGCACCCCCCGACCCCTCCCGGCCGCCCTTACCCCTCCGC